TGGAAAGATAGATATAAAAGATAATCACAATAGTAAAAATAAATGACAATAATAATAATAATAATAATGAACACTCACCGTTTTCTGCTTTCCCACCCATATCACCCTCTGCACTCTCTCTCAATATCCCTTACTTATTCTCTCACTCCCTTTTCATCTCTCACACTGCACAGTCCCTCTCTCTCACGCTGCACAGTCCCTCTCTCTCGCTCTGCTCAGTCCCTCTCTCTTACACTGCATAGTCTCTCTCTCATGCTCACACACTGCGCAGTATCTCACTCTCTCCTTACTTAGTCTCTCTCTCTCTCTCTCTCTCTCTCTCTCTCTCTCTCTCTCTCTCTCTCTCTCTCTCTCTCTCTCTCTCACACACACACACATACATAGACACTGCTGCCATAGCTTCCGTTGACCATGAGCAGTTTGGAACCACTGCGCTTTATGAACAGGTACGTTCACTGCGTTCCCTGCCGTCGCTTCCCCTGGTGCACCCCGTTTCAGCGCATCCTGGTCACACTAGTCGCCCGCTCTAGTGTGCCCCACCCTTCGCCCTGGTCACCTCGCTGTCCAAATGTCCAGTTCCCCCTGGTCGCCTGCTACATGGGCGGGGAACGCCTTGCATGCTGCTCCCAACGCGTTGACTTGTTTGGATCCCACTATGTTGTGGGCCAGGTACACCTTGCATGTTGTCCCCGATCTCTCCTCTGTTCCCCCTATATTCATTCCACATTTGCTTGTACTGCCGAGACCGTCGGTACCAGGCCCAGCACAGGCTCATTACGGGTGGTACGTGAGCACCGTCCTCGGGTCAACAACTGGGCGTCGTGGTACCAAGACCCTTAAAGCCTAGGCGTGCCGCCTCCGGGTCAGTCCTCAGTTATCCTGTTTCGGTTCAGGCAGCCTGTCGTTCCGAAAATCTTCACACATTGTCCGCTGTAACGCGTCTTAGTGGTACCAAACCGGGTATAGATGGTCGTAGTGATGGTGCCGAGCCTAAGTTAATTACCTGTGATAGCACCGAACCCGGAATAACCTGCCGTCCAGGTTCCGGGCCTGAGACAGACCACCGCGGCAGTCTCCAGACTTGAAAATAAATCGTCTCGAAGCCGCAAAACCTGAAATAAGCCGTCGTGGCGGCGGCGTACCTGAAATAAGTCGCCACAGTGTCCCCAATGAATTATCTTAATGGCACCGAACCTGACACATGCCACCGCGAGGGTGCCGAATCCGGATAATAGTGTGCCGCAGCGGTGCCGGAGCTGAAAAAAAAAATCACCGCCGAGCCTGAAAATAAATTACCACTAGGATCCCGAACCTGAAATACATCGTCATAGTGGCTCCAGACCTGAAGGTAAGCCTTGTGACGGTTCCAATCCTGTAACAAATAGTCATGATGATGCTGAACCTGAAATAAATAGCTGTGATGATRTCGATCCTGAAAATAAATCACCCTGGTGCCCGAACCTGAAGTACGCCGATTCTGGCTCAAGCCGATCCTCAAACATGTCCGGTACCGAACCTGTCATCATGCCRTCGGCYCAATGTAATACGACYCCACGCTGTCCATATCCATRCGGGCATCGTCCRTTCCGCCGGGTTCAGTAAGGCTAGCAATCAGGTAAATAAGGGACACATYATAGAGAGTTTCGATCAATGGGGGATAGTAAAAAAAAWTTGAGCTCAAGGAATTTGATCAAATCGGGGTTCTGAGCCGACGGCGGRTATCCCAAGCAARAACCGGGCCAGGCATCGAATAATCATTAGCTCYTGTTTGTTCCACCCTTTTTTAATCGTTCTCCCTTTTCCTTAACTCTATTGTCTGAAATAATGAATTAGCCGTAGGTTATCCAAAAATGCATTCTGAGAGAGTTTAATCAAATGGTTGAAATTCCCTCTTTTCTTCTCTCCTTTACCATTCTTAATCCTTTTCTCTGGTTGTTATATTTCATTGCCGGAAATGTAAAATAACGAGGTATTTTCCGAAAATTTATATGCTGCGAAAGAATAGGGGAATTAARRAATATTAYGTTTTTCTCTTCCCTSCTAYTGTTCYYAATCTTTTCTCCCATATTTAAAYTAGGTACCAAAAATTGATAAAATTTGAGGCGCTACTCCAKCCCRATCATATGCTGCAAAAGYATTGCCGCGGGGTCAACACGCGCTATGCCTCCCCACAGCCARCCATCCTAGGTCTAGCCTCGGGACGTGTGGGAATGACGGTMCYTAGATGTGCCGGGAGCGGCTACCCACTTCGCCATCTTTGGGGGTTACTCGAAAGSTTYAGTTCGCCCAAAATCARGGGTGCCSTGAGTTCCCYTAATTTTTGCTGCCTGGTCATAGCAGAGTACCGTCAAAACACGGACTTGTCCCCGAGCCTAAGTCCCGAAATCGCAGATTTCAGGCGGCGCACTGCTCGTGGCCGCCTGACAGTTAACCCGGACCACTTTACGACGCCCCCGTCGAGCCCTATCTACTTGCGTCAAATGAAGCGAACGAGTTTCAGGGTGATTGCCCGTAAAGGTCGGCCACGTCGGCGTTTAATTGTCTTATGTTTCAGTTTGTTATTAGTTCCAGGGCTAAGAAGATGCTTCTTGACTTTCCTTTTCCTTTGGGATTTTGGTCTTGGTAGGATCTTCTTTTTCTTCTGATGTTGGTCCGAGAAAGGTGCCGACTCATCAGCTCGTCTAATGCGAACTCTCCGTCTGGCTCTCCTGAGCATGAATAA